AGATAGATAGATAGATAGATAGATAGATAGATAGATAGATAGATGAATGAAAGGAGAAAGAGATAAAGATGTTCACCAAAGAGTAAGTATAGGAGGAGCTGAAATCGTTTTTTGCCTGCTTGCTGCATTTTGCTAACAGGATTGGAAGAGGACCCATGTGCCCTCCTTTTGAGTCCCTTCATGGCAGTGTCACAGTCCTGCCAGAGGGAATTCTAGTGACCAGTTCTTGCCCTCCCATCACCTCCTCTGGTTCTGCAGCTATCTATACACACCTGCGCCCACATGGACTTCTCAGTTCCTTATATCAGCCAGGTCCTCTCTCACCTCACAGTCTCAGCCATGCTGGTCTCTCTGCCTGAGGCTGTTTGGTTTTTCTTTGGATTTATAGATAGAACATGACATTCTTAGTTAATTCCAAGGCAGTGGCTGGAATCTCCAGAATCTGCTACAAATTTTGTGGTTGTTTTCTACTGGAGGAGGCTCTGGGACTTTCCAGGAAGGAAAGGCTGTCTGCATCTGCCTTAGTCTGCAGTCTGGATTCTATTATCACATGAAAGGAACCTTCTGTCTTCAGGGACTGGTGGAGGAATCACAATGACACTTCTATACTGTTTGTGTCCCCCATTTCTCCTGTCCACTTCTCATTAAGTTCGGCCATAATTTCTCATTAAATATTTGTTTGTTTTGGTACCGGGGATCGAACTCAGGTCCTTGCGCTTGCACAGCAGGCGGCGAAACCACTGAGCTAAATCCCTGGCCCTCTCATTAAATATTTATTTCCACTGTGAAACCAAAGCAGAATTGTGAAGAGGCTAACTGCTAACCGTTCCGAGTGACATTCTCTATACCTCCCTCCAGTGAGCGTGGACCAACACATACATACAATGCAGTAGATCAGTGCCTGGGGGTTCTGTATGTGCAGACTTCCAGGAAAAACATTATAAAATAAAGAAGGATGATTAAAGTAATCAAAGTAATTAGAATCTTTTAGCAGGTATTTACTAAAATCCTCCTAACTTCTCGCATTTTTAAAAAGATGTCATGGGGAAGATTAAAAAATGCAGAAAAGTTCAACATTTTGTCACAGATTTTCCTTTCAGACGTCCATAGCTTACTTGAACCAAAATTTCCACATGTCAAATGGGAAAAACTTTATTTTAAAAATGTGTATAGATGTAGGCAGAATAATGGTCCTCCAAAGATGTTCACACCCTAATTCCAGGACCTGTGACTATGTCAGGTTACATGGTAAAGGGAAAGTAAAGTGGCAAGTGTAAGCACAGTCACCAATTCACTGACTTTACGTAGGGAGATTATCTGGTATTACCCATGGGTCCAGTGTAATTACTAGGGCCCTAAAAGTAGATGACTGAGGTAGAAGAGGAGGCTGGAGAAAAGCTATGGTAATGGAAGCAAGATCATGGAGGTGTTGTGTGGAGGAAGAGATAGAGGAAGAGGGATATGGGGCAGTGAGTGCTAGCAGTCTTTGGAAGTGGGAAAAGCAAGGAAATAGATTCCTAGAGCTTCTAGAAGGAACAAAGGCCTGCCAACATCTTGATTTTTGCTGATGGACTTGCAACCTACAGAACTGCAAGATGATAAATTTATGTTATTTCAAGCTTCAAGCTGTGGTAATTTGTTATAGCAGCAATAGAAAACTAACATACTGGGATGGGGATTTAGCTCAGTGGTGCCTCACCTGCCTCACAAGTGCAAGGTCCTGAGTTTGATCCCCTGGTACAGAAAAAAAAGAAAAGAAAACTAACATACCATACAATAAAATTCTAAATTGTGTATTACCAGGAAATAAATTAATAAGTGGAGCTGGGTGTGGTGGCACATGCCTGTAATCCCAGCACTCAGGAGGCTGAGGTAGGAGGATCACTGCAATTTTGAGGCCAGCCTGGGTTATATAGTGAGTCCAAGGCCAGCCTGAATCGCACAGTGAGACTCTGTCTCAAAAAACAAACAAAAAATTAATAAGTGGAGAGAACGATGTTGAAAGTTATTAGGGGAAATGACTTAGAATGAGTAGAATTTGAGATCATTATTTTCACAATTTATCGGACAAAAGTAGAAAGAAGCAAAGAAGGGATACCTCTACCCTACAATACATCTGTTTTTCTAATCTAAAAACCACGTACAAGAAAGGTCTCCTTGTGCTCTCTTACAGATGAAGCTGACCTGAGGTCTTAAACAGCTCAGAGCATCTTTCATAACTGCGAGGGCCCTAGCCACACATCTGTTCTCTGACAGCACAAATTCTTGTCACTCTCCTGATACTAAGATTCCCCCCACCCCCATCAGACCATGTGCTCTGCTTCCCATAGATGCTTCCTCTTAGCTACTAAACAGCATTCCACTCTTTGTGACACAGCAAGATAATGGTAGGGGAAGTGACACATATATAGTGTGCCAAGCCTGGCTGATTGTTGCATTCTCCAGAAGCACGGCCACCATTTGGAACTCATGGTTGTCAGGCTAGTCTCACACAGGAGGAAACTGACCCTGGCAGCCCACCAAAGCCTGACACTGTGGTGTTGAGGAAGCAAGAATGGGTGGGGGCAGGACCACAACTACTTTCAACTATGGGATGAGCCCGAGACCAGATACTGAGTACCTTATTACTCACTGTCTCAGTCTCCTGGGCTGATACGTGATAATCTGCTAAAAGCTTGTGAGTCTATTTAGGTCTTTAAACCAGTAAGACTTGCATATGGTGGGCTCCTGATCTGGAGTTTGAAAAGGTTCAGAGGAGAAGCTGGACTACCAACCTTATCCATTGGCTGTCCTATGTAAATTGCCAGTGACTGCAATTAGTAGGAACTCATTCCAAACCCAGCTGGAATCCGCCATGTCTCCTTTCAGAAGATGATAGAGAAAAATTAGAAATATTTTGTGCACAGAAGTTATTCAAATGCAGATAAAGAATATAACTAGTACATGTGAGGCTGCTGAATGAAACTACTCTGACCATGCATAACCATTATATAAGGCAAGTGTGCCTTTTTTCACCTAAAGATGTCACTGGGCATTTGTAAAATTTGGGAAGTGGAGGGCTTCTCTGAACAATGTGATTGGCTGTCACTCTTTCAGGAGGGAGACCTTATTAACACCAGAGAAAACCTTGCAGCTAATTCAGTAGCCACTTTAAGCGGACTACTTAGCCAATAGAAAGCCAAAAGGGCAATAGGAAACAAGTGACCATAAGATTAATTTTCTGCTGCTAGAATAAAAGAAAGACCTAAAAATTGGTGTCTCTGCCCTGACATTCCATTGATAGGGATTGCTGATGATATTCAAAGAACTTTGCCCTTTTATCCCTACCACACCTCTTGTTCTTTCCATTGTTTATTTCTATTATCATCCACAAATATACATGGCAATTTTGTACATCAGGCCTTTCCTAAAGCTTGGCTCAGTTCTATTAACCTTTATGTGGTAATTTATAGTTAAGGTCTAAATGGCAATAGTGCAGGTAAATAGTGTCTGTGGGTTCTGGCAACATGTGGAAAGTGCTGTGCTTAAGTGATTCCAGCACATTTGCTCAGAACATTATGGAAAGAACTGCTGAGATCTCTGCAGGAAATTATTTAGTGAAATTCTACAGAAGATTAACATTGCTTTATGACAGGCTTTTTGTTGTGTTGCGTCTAGAAATTTCAGGAAAAGGTGTGGAATGCAAGAGTCTATCGTTAACATCAGTTGCTGAGCTATGGCTAAAAAGAAGACATCTGGGAAACCACATATCTCAGAGATGTTCATATTTGCTTGTGATTTGTCAAGATGAGTAGCTATGAGATATCTTTCTACATCTCTAGAGTGAATGGAAAGAAGAGATGCCTCCTTGGTCAAGTTGATGTCATACAACAAATACTTCACCTTCTCTCAGCCAAAAGCAGTTTGTCTCTGACTTTTCCAAACCTGTCCACCCTGAGTCATAGGAGCTCTAGAGTGTCCAACTGGCCTAGTCAATCCACTGCTCAAAGCTCGCCAGAAACTTGAGTGGTTTTGTGTCTATTTCCACCTGTCTTTCATTTACCCACCTACTTGTTACCAGCCTACTGATAACCTGGATTTTCGAGGCCTCTGCTAGATGCTATGAACAAGAGGGACATGGCTGTTCTCATGGGGCTTAGTGCACCAGGGAAAAGACACTGAAAAGGTAATTTCACAAATAGTTATTTAACTGCAGCTGGATAAGTGCTTTAGAAGAAAAGCACTAGAGCAATGGGAGAATTTAACACAGGTCATCTGTGCATGGGGATGGGAGAGGCCAAGGAAAGCTTCCCTGAGGAAGTAGCACTTGTGCTGATTCCTGAAGGATGAGTAGAAATTCCTCAGGCAAATGGTGTGTGTTGGGGTTAGGGAGGGGATGGAGAATTGAGGCAGCCAGATAAGCAAGATGGAGGGCTCTGATGTATGAAGGGCCTCAGCATAACTGATAGGAGCCAGAAGGCCCATGTCGTCGGAACATGGCAAATGGAGGAGGGAATAGAAAGTTCAGGGCCAACTCTACCCTTGGAAGGGCTTGAGAAGACATAGTTGGGTCATCTCAGCTTATCCCCAGAGGAGTCAAAATTCTGAGCCTGTGACCCTCGGCGGGTTTTCAACCTGCGTGTTCCCTGAAACCCACCAGATTGCATCCCTGAAGGACCTTGGTCCAACACTACAAGTGAAGGGCCAGCAATCAAGAGCATACATATTCTGCATGGGGGCCTGATTTAAATCCTGCTTTGACTGAACCAACCTTGAATAGATATTTTTGAGATACTGTGGAAATAAAACTCAAATGAAATATAGGTAATATAAGGAAATTATTGTTAATTTGGAAGTTCAAAATAGTATCATGGTTGAGTAAGAAAATGTTCTCATTTTCTGAGTATTTAAGAGTGAACTATCACGATGTCTGTGATTTTAATTAAATTAATTCAGCAAATGTATGGGCATGCATATGATGAAATGTCAGTAATTATTCTGATGGTATGTAGGGGAGTTGACTATACTATTCTCTTTACTTTTATGTTTGAAAATGCTCATAATAAATCATTAAAACAATGAAAAAGAAAAAAAATACCATTCATCATCAAGCTGGCTCTATGGTATTGTCCTGGGAAAAAGTACAACCAGAACAAACCATCTCCCCAAAAGCAAAGGACATGAGTTAGAAATATGCATTTTCCTCTTGTTTCTTTTTCATGTTTCCTATATTGGTGTGTGAAAATTCTGTTTAAAATAATAAAGTTCTGAAAGTGAATACACTGACTACCCCATATGCATACTGTGCTTGGGGTTCATTACCTACAGATTCTCCACTCACTGGAGAACATTCAAAACACTTACTTGGTT